TGCCACCTCTTCTTTTGATCCGTGCACAGATTAAAAGTGTATTTTATGTATACATCATGAATTTTTGGAAAGAAAAGTTTTGGCTTTCTACTTCTATCTTCATACAAAAAGTATGTGAATCTTCCAGAGGAAGAACTCAATGCATTTCATAATAAACTCTTTACAAAGATATATAGACGATGCAAGAAGTAATTTTCAGACACAAACTGGAAGGAAAAGCCCTCTCAAAACAACTACGTTCATATAAAAAAACTTTCGAAACAACTACTTTCATATGAACATTGCATTATACAAAAAACACTTTTTCCTATTCAGTTTGTACTCCAATAATTCAATAATGGAATTCAATTAAAGCTGCTACTGCCGGAATTACAGCTTGCCACAGTAAAACTAGATAATATTAACGTCAAATGTTTGTTCTCTGAATAGTAAAAAAAAATGTTGAACTTTTATTTCAAGGAAATGATTAAATTTTATGTAAAAAACTTCTGCATGGGTATGGAACTTAGTTATTAGACAATACTAGGTGTCCTAACTATAGTGTATTGACTGTACTAGTCTAAAATTGGACCTACTGCCTTAAAAAAAATTTTAAAACTACACCTTCTTAAGGTAAAAAAATACCGTAGGGAAGGGTCGTATTTGAAGCCATGTACTTGACCAAATGAAGGAATACTTACTCATTCATATATCTGAAATAAGTTTTCAAAGCTTGGTCGCTTATGGAGCTTTTGCAAACCTCCAAATCTGTGTGAGGAAAATAGTGGACGTAGTTCACACACATTTCGTCACTGATGCTGAATCCGCCGAATGTCACGTTTTCCAAATATTTTGTACTGTAGTCACATTGAGTGATCAAACTGTGACCCTAAAACATCGTTCTTCATGTTCAAAGTAATGGAAACTGATTCGAACAGCTTTATTACTTACGGGCAGGACTTTCACAGGATTTTTCAGACGTCTGATTTCTTGGAAGTGTGTGCTGTAGTGATTATCCCTGTTCAGTTCTGGTAACTCCCTTCCATATTCGTCAATATGCCTTGTGAACACTCTAATGCCGGTCAGGTGAGTGTGAAGTTGGGATCCGAAGATGGTTATACCTTTGGGTGGCAAACTCTGAAAGATGTTGAAGTCTCGTTCTTTACATAATCTTTTTGTTGGTAATTATTTATAGGGTCTCTGCCTTTTCGTTTTAAAGTAATGATGCTCTAAAAAAATTGGGAATAGACTGACTTGTTACTTGATAAAAACTAATCACTCTATCCAAGACAATAATGAAACAATTTTCAGACATTTTTTCGCTAACACCGTAGCTTCCTTGGTAGCTATTGCGAAACGCGTCTTGAAAAGTGTTTGTTTCAAGAAAAATATACTCAAAACTTACTCCAGTTCGTTGCTGCAAATGTTTGAAATGTTCACCATTCACGTCCCTGACAATAATGAGTTTTGTTTACAAATTCATTTTTCAGATCATGGAATGTTTCTGGGGTAATATCGTTACGAGCAATTCATGAGCTCTAGAATAGACTGCGTTTGTGTAGTATACTTTAGATTGTACGAGTCCCCACCAAAAATCTAAGGACTTCATATCAGGTAATCTACCGGGTCATTCTGAGGGAGCACGTTTGGATAATTGTCATCCATCCACCTTTAAACCAGCCTGTCATCATAATGAGGTACCTTATCTTGCTCATATAATTGAAAACTCATTTGGGTTTGTCAATTATCTAAACCAGTAGAGAAGCAGTTGTATTCCATTAGAAAAGCTCACCAGAACACCTGATATGACGCCTCTAGATATTTTTGGAGGAATACGTGACATCTGAAGTCTAGAGTACACAACCGCAATTCATTTCAGAACTTGTGGATAGAAAAAGATGTGATTACAATGAAATTAACCCAGGCACATTTGAATTGGTGAATGTAGGGCATTTTCAAACTTATACATTAAATGTATAATGTGAATATGTCCTTATAAGACGAAACTGCAGTAACTTTAGTTACAAATAAAAGTGGTAAAAAACATAGAAAGTTTCAATTCTCTATTCTTCCAGGGACATTTCATAATGTAGGAAATGAATTGGTATACACACTTCATAAAAGTCAGGCAGCTAATAGTAAACATTGAATGAAGTTTGCAGATCCTTTAAATGAATATAAAACTGCTTATTAGTCAGGGACAGTTTATCCGATTTCTAAAAATAAAAAGTGTTGGATAAAGAATTGAAACGTGTATCAAAGAAGTTATCATAAGACCTCATTTCTATTGAAACAAGTTGATAGTTCTTTCTCGGCGAGAGTGACGCAACACTATCTTCTCTTGGAAAATGAGAAATAAATCTTTCAAATAAAATTTTCAAACAATTACCATAATTGTTTGAAAATGTCCTTATAGGACGAAACTGCAGTAACATTAGCTACAAAATAAAAAAATTCTCATTTTTCATGATGATCTACAAGGTAATAACAGCTACATCCATCAATTTACTGAATTCTCTCTTATCAAAAAGTACTAAAATGAAATGTTTTTACAAAAATTTTGTTCAATCTTCATAAATTGTCGCGTTGAAATGTTAAAAGGGGAAAGTATTTACGTTCCGCACTTTATAATAACTAAAAGCAATTCAACATGGAAAAAAAAATAATTGAAAATTTATTGAATCATCTCTTTCTAAAAAACCTGTCAAACAGTCAATTGGTCAAACAGTCAATTGGTCAAGAGTCAATTGTTGAAACAAATTACCAGCCATTTTCACTAATGTTTATAAAGTGTCTTTTGTGTCATATAATTATCCCACTTTTGATAACACATAGTTTATTGAAGACATTAGTAAACATTGCATTTCAGGTAAGGTATTCATAGAAAATTATGAGATAAAAAAAATTCGCGAAAATAATAAATGCAATTGCTTTTTAGAGATTTTAATAAACTACTCACCATAGCCGTACAGGCACTTGTGCAATAGCCGATTAACGAAAATGACTCCTGTCCTGGTGGAATAGCCATTTTGTCTGTGTATTCCAATCCCAGTTCAATCACGCCAGCATCCATTTGTTTTAATTCTTTAGAGACATGGAACCGAATGCCAGAACTGTCTATCAAATCTAGAGAACGGAATGGTTAGGGTTTTTTTTTCATAAATATTTTGATTTCTATAATTTACCTCCTCTTCTTTCTGGATTATTATAGTGTACCTCCAACATTATATGTGGATTAAAATTATCACCTCCTATAGGAAGAGCTGCTTCCTGAAATATTTCAAGAAATTCATAAAATAACATAGACTATTTATAAATGTGTAAAGTTCACAATCTTGCAATCACATTAAAAATGGTATCGATTTTACAGCAGTAATGATATAATCTTTATAGAAACGACACTTTATGGATTCTTTAATCATGTGTTGAATGCACTCGACGTAAATTCCATATTTGTGAATTGTTCATAGATTGTAACCAGACGACTTCTTTCTCACTGTACATATATTGAAATGTTATACTTCTAACTTCGTACTATTTAACGAGAATAAAAATTATTATTATTACCTCAGGGTAGATAAATGGAGGTGCACCCATAGCCCATGCAGCCAAGACTCTTTTACAAACTTGTGTTTTGGGTGGCCTGTCTTTGGCGAAACAATTTCCTACATATAATGGAATATCTTCATTTGCGGCAGCTTCACAGTGAAATACTTCCATGTGGTGAACTGTTCCTTGACTTGATTCTTGAATGTTGGATTCATACTGAAATATATTTTTATTATTGCGACAGTTCTTCAGTTTCGCAAGAAATTAATGATATCTCTGTTTTTATTCATCAATTTAAAATATTTCTGTTGTGAAAAACTATTTTAGCAACTATTTTTGCATAGAGGTTATATGTGATGGAATTGGCTGATACTTGATGAATATCCATGACGTGTTCAAGAAACACTTTATTGCTATTGTATAGTTAAACTTGTGGTTTTATAATCTGTTCAGTGAAAATCTCACAATAAAGTGTTAGTTGAATAAGTTATAATAAATACATTTTTCAAAAAAGCAAATGTACTGAAATGTTTCAGAATGTAGGTTTGAAAAAGGAATGAAAAACACTGAAATGGGGCATACTTGATATATATGGTGTTTATCCTTATATTCCTCTGGGAGTCTATAAACATGGCACCAGTATGTTGTTTCTTCGTTAGGTACTTCAACTTTGTCAGTAACAATATCCATAATCTTCACGTGAGATGGGAGATCCGTGCTCACATCATCATTTTTCAACAGATGTACCCTAACCATTCCATGATCTTCTGTAGAAGAACTTATGTTCAAACCGTTCACTTGATACAATTTGTGCTGTCCTCTTGACCATACTACGTGGGTTGTTCCATCCTAAAGAAAAAGTGAAATTTAGTTTTTCTTCATATTTGATTCCAACAAATAATCGACAGAATTACTTATTGATGATTACCTCAATGATGTAATCCATTCTATCGCATGTATCAAATTTTCTTTCGAAAGTGAATTTAGTTGTGCCACCTCTTCTTTTGATCCGGAATCTGTTACAGTCTTGTTGTTTGTCCAAATGTACCACACCATCGTCTTTTGAGAATATGTCCTAAAAAGTACAGGATTATATTCTTAAATATCTTACAGAAAATACTATATATTAGAAGAAAATCATTGAGCTACTCAATACTTTCTATTATTATTATTAATTCAAACCATTCTGACCTGAAACGATAATTTTCCTTGTAAATTTTCCCACAGCAAACAGTAATCTGCTGGAAACATTTCGCCTCTATCAGAAAATCCAAGAGCAAACCATCCATAACCCATCGGAAGGTGAATTTCAAAAATTATAGTTTCTCTACCATAATCCAAGGTCCAGTGTAAAGTTATGGAATTGTCTTCTTTCAAAGAGACGTGATATATTTTATCACTTCTTTCTACAAACAAAGTCAACCGCTAAAATTTCGAATTTCATAAATTTGGAATACCTACATTGAAACACTTTCAAGTTGTATAAAAAAAAATTATTGAAATTTCATTCTACTCAGTTATCACATGAACATCATTTATCAGAATTAGTTATACCAATTTTGGTTAGATGTGAAGAAAAGCAACTAGGATTTAATTTTAATTTACTGATGGTAGAAAAATAGNATTGAAGAAAGGTAGGAATTTTCCTTATTAATTGATTAGTTGAAATCAAATGCCTTTGAGCACATGATCTTTGAGAAACACCTCTGTTTGATCTCCCTCCTGAAGATGATCGAAACACGTGTCGAGGTGTTAAAAGAACGATTTGGTGTTGGGAAAAAACTCCAGAGTAATATTCATTACTACCACCAAAGGTTCCAAACATTTGTTCATACAAATATTATATATGCTTTTCTTACACGTATTCAAGTGGTGGGGAATTTCGTTGACGTGTGTGAATGGAATTAACAAATGCGACAAACTTGCCCAACTCCCTACCTGTACCAGTAAAACAAATTAAGATATTATCTACGTATATGTACCAGTATAAGAAAGTGTTAGTCAACCACCTTCAAACAAAAGTCAACTGATTATGAATTTCATTTTCAAGGATGTACACGAAAATTTCAGTTAGCAAAAGACGGGTTTTCCATTATTAGCTGTCCGTTGCAGGAATGAAACTTTTTATCACATTGAAAATAATTTTGACTTTGACAAGTTTTATAGGTTTCAGATTTTACACATATAATGTAGATTATTTGCACACGCTTTTTCAATGATTACCTATTGATTATCCTGCGGGACATGTGCACATTCATAAGAAAACCCTAAGATGGAACCTTGAACTATACCTTAATGAAACTATCTTAATATTAATACTATTTGGAATTATTCACTTTTATCTGATATTTACTATTATTAACATAACAATAACCTCTTTCATACTATACCTATTTCGTTAATATTTCCTAAAGTGGCTGTGTACCACGTCAAAATCATTATTTAAATAATTACAAACAAGTAACTTTTTTTTATTACCCGTTTCACCGATAAAAATATTCTATTATTATTTTTCAAGATACCTATAGTAATTGGTATTACAAAGTTTTGTCAAATCATTTATACCATTTGTCATATAACCAATATTCCTCCAATGAATCTGGCTGTTATTATTATAGTTTAGTTTTTATTTTTTCAACGCATCGACAGAAATGTGTAAAATCATTATATGTGTTCTTAGTATTCGAAAATCAAAACCCAAGTCTTATAATCATCAACATGAATTTGAATATTTCAGGATGCTGCAACTGATTAAATTGAAATTTATTGTAAATTGAAATGATAACATAGCTTCCAGGATTAATTTGGCTTCGCCGCTAGGTACTGATTAAATTAGACAGGAAACGTTATCATCAAGCTTAGGTATATACAATTTTGATATAGAAATTTGTTTAGTGCCTAACTAAAATTCCATAATAATATGTCTGAAATATAGCGGTTAAATGATGAATATACCGATCAAATCAATCAATTTCAAAATAACCTGCAAATTAGGAAATAACGATACATTTATTGAAACTGACATAGTTTGAGAGTTGTATTTGATGAATTTTCAATATTAACATGCCATTTTCTAACGTATTCCAAAAACACTTTATTGTGAGATTTTCACTAAATTGTTTTACAAAAACGCAACACGTGTTTCGCCATACAATGGCTTCATCTGGCGTGTCTTTCAACTAATTCTACACATTCAATACTAAATATATATATAGTTTATGGAGTACCTGAAATCAAAGTACCTGTAAACGAAGTACCTGAATTTTAAGTAGCTGATATTTTACCTGAGTTTCTAACGAATTAAATTACCTGCACTTATGTTCCATTTTCACATTTGAAAAAATATATTCAGTAACGGAGAGTTATTGAGTTCTAATTGATCATTCAGTAAATTACCCGAATTCCTGAATCTATTGATTTCTAAACATTCTAGAAGATTAAGTTTCAAACTCTTCTCTTCTAAATGTAACACCTCGTACTCATGATTGAACTCATGTCCTTCTGCTAAAAGATGGTTTGCAAATGTGGAATTGGTCTTTCTATTTACAAAACTACTCCTATGTTCTTTAATTCGTTGGAAAAATGTTCTTCCTGTTTGGCCAATATACAGTTATGGACAAGAGCCACAAGTCAACTCAATGTTTTCATTTACAACTTTAATTAAATCAAATGAAACTTGCTCATACTTGTCTACTTTTGATAACGTTCCTAATTTTTTTCTCAAGAAAGACACAAACACGGTTTGGTTTTTATACTATTATTCAAATATAGTAGGTAGCTACTTCTGAAGCAGGCCAGATTTGTTGGTATAAGCAGAAATGTACATGATGAAAATATTATAAAACTGCCTCGAGAGAACATTAAAAATTTATTACCATGGAAGTTGCTTACAAAAGTGAAGATGAGAACAAAAAATATATATCCCTCGCGAGGAATGCAATTTAGGTGGATCACGCTCGACCTCCATTCATTTATAGTTGGAGATGGAATTCAACAATGGAATAAGTTCCACTTCATTAAATTCCTTTCCGGCCAATATTTCGCCAAATACGAGGGCATCCCGGTAGATGAAATTGATGTTGAAATTAAGACGATGTGAGTGGAGAGGGGGATACAAGTTTTTATTTTCGCATCAATTATTTGTTTGTTGCAAACATGAATTCTCAAACTCGTGATACACTTTTCGAAAATATATTCCTAACTAAATCATTGTTTATTCGAAATAATGGAAAAACACTAACGATCTTCCAACATATGTTCAATGGGAAACGTTTTTTACTTACTGGGAGAATATTGCAAAATAATTTGTTTTTTAAACAGTTTTCTTTAGCTTGCCCTGTTTTTTTGTTTGTTTATTTGTTTGGATCGAATTTAGTAATTGAAGTTTGACCCCTTCCTGTTGACAGATTGATCTGATATTTGGTACACACATTTAGTTTTGATGACAATACAATTTAATAAATTCTGTATCATTGTAAATCCAAAACGGCCGCAGCTACGAAATGGCGGATTTCATATTGTTTCACAACTATCACAATATGGGTATCAAATGACAGTGCCTCGCTAGTAGAATAGTAGTACACTTTGAAAAAGATGCAAAATCAAGATGGCCACAACTACAAAATGGCGGATTACAAATTACCTTGTAGTACTGAGGCACTAGATGAACTAAACAGAATGAAAAGAATTGAGTACCTAACAAAAGTAGAAACTAAAAACTTGAAAATAAAATAAGGAAAAAATATATTAAACGTTTTTATTGATTTATTGATCAGATGTAAAAAAACGTAGTGTCTCGGGACGCTCGACAGAAGTTACAACTTAAACTAATCTAAGTTGAACTATCAATATTGAAATTGTTTAACTTGAGAAAATTTTAGGTTATTATATACCTACTTAAAAGTTTATGTATATTATTATGATAATGTGAGGCAAGGTTATTTATTAATGAAATCTTTTATTGATTATTTTATGTATGTAGATACATATATTATAGCTACCATAAGCCAATTTTTACTTTTGTAGAATTAAACAATGATAATAATAAAGTACCCACACAAAATTAGTATCATTTTTCAGCTATGTTTCACATAATAAAAGAATATTACGTTAGATGCTGGTTAGATTTTTATAATGTTCATAAACATTATGTAGGTATACATAGAGAGAGAGGAGAGTTTACTTTCATTCACCGACTTTTTCAGCGTTAAAAACAGTTTTTCAGGTGTAATTACAGGATTTACAAAAATAACAGGTTCCAGATTTCTTCTTATGTTATTTAAAATATAATCAAATGTGTAAACCCATTCTTGTATAGTGGTAAATTTTTTTTGGATGACACTTTAGCTTGTAATAATGGGTAGAAAATCCCCAAAATTACTTCTTCCGTCATTTACTGAATGAACACCATATCTAGTTAATGATAACTTCCCATTAGTAGACTTTCGTGCCCACGCGAGCGGGATACTTCTCCGTCACGATAGAGAGAGGAGAAAGGGAAGCCAGACATACTGCTGCATTATGTTACAAAACGGTTACCCTCCCATATAAGAAGTGATCACTTCAATATCACTGACACTAAAGCTTTGAGTCGAGATTACTTCTTATAAATTAAAGTTTGTCATAAATCAGGAAAACCCACTGCATTAACATTTAAAACTTTTACATGAAACATTTTTTGATAATTTAACTCAATCACAAACTTCTAATGCAAGCTCAATTTGACACACACTGTATAAGTTATTGCCAGCTCCATTACAATATCAATAATGTGTGTACAATTCAACTTTCAACAAAAAAATTCACAGTGTAACCTAAAAATTTGATGGTTTCAAAAATCGTATACTATTTCTAGATTCTAGAAATGCTAGAGGAACACTATTTGAGTAAAAATCCATAACAACTGTCTTTCTCTATCATACAAATTGCAGTATTAAAAATATTGATTGGACACCAACAAAGTTTTTCGAAAATTTACCGCGAATCATCCGCTTAGACAAGCTCAGAATGTCCGTTTGTAGTTGAGGCCGTCCATTAATCACGTGATGTTTTTTAGCATTTATTAACCCCTTTCCCTTTGGTGGTACGTGGCAAGGTTTGAGACTGACCCCCCCCCCTCCCACACCCAATTCACATGTATTTTCAAGTACCTACAAAGAATCTCGAAATTTTTCCTTTCTTTTACTCTGCAAATAGGTCTTTATACGATCTCCTAGTTTCTACATTATTTTCATGAAAAACGTACGAAGTAATGGTGTATGCATGTATTCGGCGAGAAATAACAGAATATATCTATGTATATCTGGTGACTGGGAGCCGAGCCGGGCCGCCTTCGTGGTGCGTGGGGACTTGGTGTCTAGCAACGGCGGTTTAGAAATCGCGCGTTTCACGAAAAAATGAATACATGTAGGTAATATCTTACTACACCTCTCAGTTGTGATATTTCATGATTTTTGCTAAATCCCCTTTCAAGCCTCACGTGATTAATGGACGGCCCTTGTTTAATATACAACCGTTATCCTCTTTTTTAATTTATTTGCAACTTGTATTTCAACAAGTACCAAGGTAAATGTTTCAATCAGCTCACTGCTCGATTTTTGAGAGCATTAAACAAACAAAATCACCATACCGGTATTTACCACTTTTGTTTTGGTTTTAGGTTAAGAACAAGTAAAGGATCTTGAAGTTTTTAATTTGTGATAATTTAATGTAATCACGAAGTGTACCATTCCAAAATGTTTCGAAATATTTAGGTTATTTTTTTAGATAATCAAAGTGTCATTGAAACTGTTCAAAATTGAATTCGAGTGTCTTGTCAAAAAAGTTAGTTCTCACGATTTTTTTGACAAATGGAAAATTATGATGAATTTTCGTAAGTATCATTGAAATTAATGTATCAAATGGAATATTTTTATTGAATTGTAGAAACAAATGTTTGAGATACAAACTGAGTAAAGAAAAGTATCTTTTCTGTACTCAGTTTGTGTAAGTCAATGTTTATATGAAAGTAGCTGTTTCAGGAGGGCTTTCTTCCAGTTTGTGTCTGAAACTTGCTTCTTTGCATGATCTACACATCCATGTATAAAGTTACTTATTTTCAAATTGATTACTTCCTTTCTTTGGAAGATTCCCACATTTTTTGTATCAAGACGGAGTAGTAGAAAGCCAAAAAACATTCTTTCCCAAAAATTAATCACTCCTAAAAATATAACCCCTTCAATTGGAAAAGTTATTTTGCTTTTTTGAATTATCGATGCAAATAGTTGTCAATCCCTAAAAATATAGTCAGAAGTTTAATAAAACACCCATGTTTGTCTTATCAATCTTATCTTATCTAAGAATAAAAATTTCTATTTCATTCTAAATAAAGTTATGATAGGTATCCACTTGATCAAGTTTGTTCACACTTTATAAATACTCATGTACCTGCTCAATTTACACCAAACAAAACTCCCTACAACCAGTGATATCCCGGAAATTATTTTTTTGAGGTAAAAGCTATAACTAAGATTGCTTTCAGATGGAGGTCCTTGAATGTTGAAATGTATATTTAAATAGTCTTACTAATTTTTAGAGATTCCAAAAGTAATCAAGTAAAAACTGTCTCCAAGGTATATGCAGATGTCTTATCCAACAAGCTGAGTTCTTACTATGAGTATGACAAATACGTACCCGAATATGAAGACGTCAATGATTACTCACTTATTCGAAAGCTGGGACACGGCAAGTACAGCATCGTTTTTGAAGGCTCGCATGAACCAAAAAATGAAAGAGTCGTCATAAAAATGTTGAAACCGGTAAGGAAGAGAAAAGTTAAACGGGAAATAAAAATTCTGGACTGCCTCAAAGGAGGACCCAACATCGTGAAGCTCTTGGCAGTGGTGAACATGCCCAACATCGACCAGACTGCCTTGGTATTCGAGCAGCTGGTTCATAACGAAGATTTCAAGAATATCTATTTGAAACTCAGCGAGTCAGATTCTAGGTCTTATAATTTTCTTAGTCCGAATAGTTTGTATACCTTTTTTTTTGTTCATTCGCAAGGAGGAGAACTTATTGTGAAAATATATTTTTAGTTTGACTTGAAATTTCTTTTAGGTACTATCTATATGAAGTGCTAAAAGCTCTAGATTATTGCCACAGCAGGGGCATAATGCATCGTGATGTGAAACCACACAATATCGTGATAGATCAGGAGAACCGCAAGATACGTTTGATTGACTGGGGTTTGGCAGAATTTTATCATCCCGGACAAGAGTACAATGTCAGGGTAGCTTCTCGGTACTTCAAAGGGCCTGAATTGCTGGTCGACTATGGCTACTATGACTATTCCTTGGATATGTGGTCTCTGGGATGCATGTTCGCTTCTATGCTGTTCAGGAAAGAACCATTTTTCCATGGGATGGACAACTATGACCAGTTGGTTAGAATCGTTAAAGTATTGGGTAATAGTCATGTTCACTTATTGCTCATCATTCGTTTCAAAAATTATATATTTCCAATTTATTTGAGAGTATCATACCATAAAAGTGAAATAGAATGTAAAGGTCTTTAGTGATATAAACTATGGAAGATAAAAAAATCAGACTTTTGTGCTTGTATGCCATCTCTATCTACTTCAAAAGCAAGTAAAGATTATTATAGTTTTTTTTTTTGTTTTGTTTGAGGAAAAATTATGATAATAATATCAAAATATCATGCAGATACCTTATATGAAAAATAAAAGATGGGAGTTCAAACTAACATTATTAACCAATTTTATTTGAAATATAAATGGGAAGCAAACTCATTATTTTATTATGTATGTATTTTTTCCATGTAATTTGGTGTGTGTGTATGTGAAGAGACATGGTGACTAATATTAATGTTATATTTTAATTGACAAAATAAAGATGTCTACGTGAACAACAAACAATTGGTAAAAAAAGACATTATCAATGATAACAATTAAATAATTTTCACTATAAATTTTATTTGAGAAATGTTTCGAGTGTTTCGATACACGGTAGCTTCATCAGTTTGGTACATCAAACTATTCTAAGTCTTTTATATAACAATAGGTGATTACAACAGTTGATTAGATAAATGATTGATTTTAAAAACAAACAAATTATTAGAATTCAATTACAAAATTCAATACGTTAATTATTAGCATAAAATACCTAGAAGTAATTATTGTATTGCAATTGTTTCAACAGGAATAATAATTAGATTATCAAGTTTTGTAATTATCTACTGTTATAAGGAGAACATTGTAGAATAGTCTGATGTACAGTGCAACTTATGAAGCTACCGTTTTGAGAAACCTGTCATAAATAATATATATATAGTGTGAAAAATGTATGATTATTATCATGGGTAGCTTTGAACATTATGCAGTCTCTCATAGGGACTCATACAAGGAAATCTTGGCAACGTTTCGTCCACACCGAACACGAGTACCTGATCACCGACCAAGCCATCAATCTGCTCGAGTCACTCCTCAAGATCGACCACATGGAGCGAATCACCGCCAGAGAGGCGTTGAACCACAAGTACTTCTCGCCAGTCAGACGGAAAATATACGGAAGATCGCCTTCTGGATTGACGGCGACGGAAGACGCTCAGTAAGAGGTTGTTTGCAGTTTAGAATTCTGTTTATGAAAGTTTTGAGTTGTCGGGCGCTTCGATAGGTCCCTCTGTTTCTTGAAGTTTCCATTTTTTTTTTTGACTATTTTTCGACTGCAAACCTGTTTGATAAATTTTGGAAAGTATTGATGTAATATATTTTAAAAACAGTTGAAATAAATCAGAAAACATGATCACGAAAACGTTCTAAATGTTTTTTAATAAATGCTTAAAGATACATATTTACATTTTCACTTTCGAGTGGCTCGATACGAAAGTGCACCGTTCCTTGCCAACTTGTCAGCTTCCTCGTTTCCTTTAATGCCTTGGTGGCCAGCGACATGATGCTGAAATTAGGACAAAAATAATTTGGCTGTTTCAAATCTATATGAGTACTGTTATTTCGAATTGAAAAGTTGTGAAAAAGATTATCTTCAACTTCAACATTTTCAGTTCCATAATTCTTTCCGAAGTTATGTTTAAATAATCTTACCCATTTAACATCTGAAAAACTTTTGATTATTTCGTCCAACTTTTGAAGATCCTCTTTATTTTTGACAGCACCACCTGAAGCAGTCTTCCAATTATTTCGTTTCCAGTTGTTAATCCATTTTGTTATGCAGTTTATTGTGAACTGTGAGTCAGTTATTATCTTCACCTTTTTTTCACCTGCAAATTGAGATCATAATATTCAGCTGTGTTAAACCCCCAACAACTCAAAAAACATTTAAGAATTAAAAAATGTTTTAAAATCTTTTTTCCATTAACCAGCTAGACAACGACAACCTCCAAAAGTCGAAACTGAGTCTGAGGATTAACGAGGTCGTACGTTTTAACGTACGCTTCCTAGCACGGGTTGGAGTCAACATATAATCACTATATCCAATTTTGAAATACAAATTTTTGAAACTTGTATTGAATTTGAGTTATTTGGAAAATATGTTATCAAATGTCAAAGTTCTATTGATACTGCTCATATACAAAATATGACAAACCGTATTCTGGTTCGGTGAATAATTAATGGTAACTTGCTGAAACCACCGTAAAGAAGTTGAATTTGGTCATAATTTTGATTACAAAGTTGAAGGTCGACTCTTTCAGTTATATTGCCAATTGCATATGCAGGAAATTTTCTGTGAAGATTCCTGCACTGACGCCTGTCGGATATAACCCAACGCCCTCCGTGATATCAGCCAGGGGAGTAGTTGTTTTCTGATAGGCGTCAGTCCATTTAACCTACTGTGTAGGTATATCGAGACTGGCTTGAACATTTAAAGTTCATTTGCTTTAGATTTGTTTACTAAAATATATCAAAATTCATATTGCCTACATTTTCGTCAAACATGTCTGCATAACTTGGTTAATCTCAAAGAAACCATTAGGGTTAATTTATGTATAGTCTACTCAACTCATGATGATTTAACCTAGATTTAGGCATATAGGAAAAAGGGGCTTCCTGCAATACGAGTGAAGAATGACACTAAATTTGGTAAATGATTCTCTCGAGGATAAGTTCGTATAAGACCTTTGAAAGGTCTTATACGAAGTATAAGTATATGAAGGAGCAACCATTAATGAGCTGTTCGAGATATCATTGAAAAAATGAGTCTGCAGTAGTTTTTTCAAAAGTACAATTTCATAAACTTCAATTAAGAAGTTGTTTCTTATTTCTACCCCCAACACAGTACAGAAAGAAGCAGACAAGTTAATAAATAAGAACCAAAGAATACGGGTTGAGGGGGAAATGTGAAGGAAATGTTCATATTATGAAATAACAATTAAAAAATAATAGATAGTATTACAATTTACACATGATTCTTCAGTGAAAGTGAATAGGACCTATTGTTTACCTTGATCCCTCAATTGGTGGAGTGCTTGAATACATGCTTGTATCTCGGCTGTATTATTGGTGGCTTTTCCTTCGACCGGCTTTGAAATATTCCTGAAACAAAATATTGTACAGTGTGTAGCCATTAATACAAAGACCCAGCATATTTGCGTTAGTTGAAAGAATACAAATTTCAATTTTAGCCAAGATATACAAACAGTGGGTCAAGATACTCAACTGAAATTCAAACTTTGAACTCTGATTACTACGAATTCAGAAATATAGCAAATTCTCAATATTTATATATAGCTTGTCTGATCCGTAAATGCGAGATACTATAAATAAATACTTTTTATATTGGACAAAATGAATTCTCTTACAGGGGATGGTTATCTCCAAACCACACTCCGATACCAGCTTTAGCATTAGATTTGCCATTGTTTTCACATGATCCATCGGTATAAACTATTACATGGTCTCCTTCTTTATTGAATGATGCTTTGAGTTTTTTTCTTGCTGCTGGACCAGTGAAAGTTGAACTTTCAACGAATGAACTACCTGAGGACTCCGCAACAGCAGGACCATCCGTCTCTGTCGTAGAGGAGCCTGGAAGTGGATCGATTAGAATGAGTGATCGCCTGAAAAAATGTATATTAATATGATTATGAAAGGAACATTTTTATTGATAAGTTTTTGGAAAAACCTTTCGGCTTTCAATTTCCAGGGGGACTAATTAAAGATTTCAAGTGGAGACAGTAGTCTTCAACTCCTCATTAGCACCTTTTTGGATAATTCCCTAACATAATAATCTTTGAAAAAGTTTTCATTTTGTCAATAGGAGAGATAGCTGCTCCATTACCGTGACAGTTATTATAAATAGGGTTGCGAATCAACCCACTGCAGATGAAGAAATCATGCGAAAGAAGCGCCGTGTTCATTGTTGCCAGGTCTACTGCTTTCACTGAAGATATTCCTTTTTGGCTCTCCGCATACTGTTGTACTGTTTGAGAATTGAAATCTATTCATAACTCAGTTTACTATTTATAATATTAATCAGATAAATGTAAATATTGGAAATTACCATGTATGTAGGTGGTATGTAGCTATAAAATATATTTTCTATTGTTTTTTGTATCAGTTTACTGTTTTTCTGTCACAAAATCAACTGCTAAACATGCAAATGTTCTGGCAACACTGGTCGTGATAGTATGGTTCGACCTCCTGCTTCTCAAAAACAGTAAAAAATTATTAATATGAATCAGCTAATTACTTAATATAAAATTTATTAATTCTAAGGTGGTACGAAGTTCGCTGAAATGAAAGAATTTGTATTATAACTTACCTGGTTCCAACTCTTTGTCCTATATTAATATTAATAATATTTTTTTGGTTCTGTTCAGTTGCAATACTATTGTGCAAGGAAGCTATCTCTTGTCGAATACTTTTTACTTCTAATTTAAGCAATTTAGCTCGTCGCTCCGCTTCAGAAAGTCTTTTTAAAAGAATATCAATTTGTCCAATACTAGAAAAGATTTACAACTTAGTATATTTGAAAGATTAAAAGAAAAATGTTACTTTTCCATTATTCTTGGTAAAAGTTGTATTGGCCTCAGTGACAGTTGGTAATGGAATACACCAATAACTGAACCTACAAATGGAAAGAAATATCTCATGTATCACTGCATTTAAAACTAATTGAAAATACAAAATTCAGTTAAAGCTAAAACATTTTTAAAAATAGACCATAACCAAAGATTGACATAAACAGAGTAAATATAAAAAGTTTTCTACAGTGTTGCCAATGGAAATCGTACAAAACACTCCATTCGGATGAGGACAAGTTAGATGGGTAAATTTTCGTTATGTGGACACCCGGCGATTTTGAAAAAATGTTTGACTGTACTTACGTATTTTGATGCGTAGATTACGAATCCGAAAAAAAAAAGCGGCGCTCTCCCTTATTTAAAAAGTTACGGCCCTTCAAAGTTCTGAAAAGGGAAACTGTTCAGCCTTCTTTTTCACAAAATAAACTGTTTAAAAACACAAGNAAAATACGTTTGACTGCTTTCCAGTGCTGCTTTCCTGGATTTTCCAAATATCTGCTAACTCTGCTCACTGAGAATGATATATCTGGACGAGTGACAACCGCTAAAAACATGCTTCTCTGTACGGAATATTTTTCATATATTATTTTTCTTCCTCGTTTTGGGGGCTTTGAGCTGCATTCAGAATAACATTCATTGTGGAAGTCCATTTTGTGTCTCTTATGTGGTGGTTCCACATCATCTCTCTGGGGCATAGTCTTTGATGTTGAAGGTGTCTTCGATGTTGATGGTTCATCAAGACTATTTTCGCAGGACTCTGGTTCAAGGGATACAGGTACACACCACCACATTCTGGATTATTCAATCCCACGAAGTTTTCCCCTAATAAATCCAATATTTTCAGTTCTAGTTCACTTGGTGGTTTCACATCATCAAGTCCACCCCCAGTGCGAGATAATGAAGCTCTCATTGCAGCACCTTTTTTTTAAATGAATATTCAAGATCTGACCAAGACTTAAAACGAAAGCTCTAATAAGTTATAAAAAATCCAAGTATTTGGGACTTTGGTTTACCTTCTGCCATTTTTCAGTAGGTTTTGCTACATAATGAGCATTCAGATTATGCGCCAATTTATCCCAATGTTTTTTATACAGATCCTTTCCTCGATGACCAACAAATTTCCCTGTAGCCAGGAAATAGTGCTTCTCCATGGCCTCTAACATAATTTGCCAATGGGTCTCTCTTACTTTGAACGACATTTTTAAAAATTTGTTTGTAAAATTTGTTTCCAAGTAAAGATAAAATTAGCAGTAATGCTATTCCATCAAAATAATGATAATGATCGTTATCGTCTTTTAACTCATCAATCTTCACTTGAATGAGAATAAAGTCTCAGTTTTTATGAAGAAATTCTGACCGAACTCAGAATCAAGACCAAAAATGAAAAGGAAAGCAGAAATCATCGTGAATGATGTACACAAAATGGATTTCGTGATTCGTGAGTGTTTTTTCCAAATATGGTAAATCGGTGGCGGGAGCCAGGTTATAGCTGTGACGCGAGCTGAATTCCAACTGTGATGAGAGCAAAGTTTCAACTGTGACGTGAAGCCAGTTCCAACTGTGATGGGAGCCAAGTTCCAACTGACACAGGAGTTGAGTTTCAACTGATGAGAGAACTGAGTATCAACTGTGAAGGGAGCTAAGTTTCAACTGTGGCGGGTGCTGAGTTTCAACTGTGAACGGAGCTGAGTTTCAACTGTGACGGGTGCTGAGTTTCAACTGTGGCATAAGCCGAGTTTCAACTGTTGCGAGAGCCGAGGTGTATGGAAAGTGTTACTAATTTCTATCAAGTAACGAATAACGACCGAATAATCCTGCCAAAGTGAGGCAATAGTCATTGTGGCATCTTCATTTCTGAGTAGAACGAATATCGTCCGAAAGAAGAGAAAACACACATGAAATTTCAAAATCTTCTCTTCGAGCTCCACATACTCTATTTTGATCATTTTCTCAAGATGCTTATCCTGATAACTGAAGAATTTAGTAAAAGATGATCGAACCGGGTGATGTTAATATGCTGTCAATCTCCTTCGAAAATTCACACTCTTGCCAAATTAACACGTTACATAGCACGTTAATAAGGGTATGGAAAAAAATAATAAAAAAAAGTGATCAATCGAATGGTTTGCCTGTGCATGATTAGTGCCGAGATATTCCTAAATGAAATGAAAACAGATTTTTCAGTAGTTTCTCCTTTAAAATTTGAATCGCGTTGTATTTTCTGAGGTTCAAGTGAATACGAAAATAACTGAGCACAATACTATTTCTATTTATGCAAAAAGCCGTATATAATATTCCATTGAAAAGAAAATTACGAATAATAACAATTATCGTTATTACTCATTGACATAACAAACAATAACTCTAATGACGCAAACTTTCAAAAACCACACATTCAAATTAATTAAATGCAATTTGAAACTTGAAAATATAACAAACGATGACAGACAGAAAGAACTATTAGTGTATAATCATGAAACAAAAACAAACCATCGCGGAATTCAAGAAACCATACAACAAATTAAGAAAAAGTACTATTGGCCCAACCTAGACCCAATATAGACTTCCAGTTGAAATCAGTTAAAGAAAAACTCCAATCAATCTACCCCTTAGCGATTCGAAAAAAACGAGGGTTGATCAATGGACTTGGAAATATTGTCAAATTTGTTTCCGGTAACTTAGATCAAATTGTTCATTCTCTGAATCAACAAATATCATTGAATCACAAAATACTTGAAAATAACAATAAAACATTTTCACTCATGATTCATAATCAGAATGTGATCAAAGAAAGTATCGAAGAGCTTAACAATAATAGCACACATTTTTTGTCCTTATACACAAATAAAATTCAACTTGGATACACTACTTTCAATTCTCACCAATATTGAAAACGCCATTTCTTTCGCTTAACTTTGCACTTTACATCATAGTATAATATCTATCGACGATATAAAATCAATACTCGATTCGCTTCTGAAGTATCATTCTAAAGATCAATTGGTATATTCAGAAATCGAGGACAGCTATAAACAATATGATATAATACCTTTTGACGCATATTTTTCGAATACAAAACTAATTTTTGCATTGCATATCCCTCTAGTGCATCCTAAAACCTCACATTACCACCTTTATTCAATACCTACTCAGAATTTTAGCACAATTATTCCAAAAAACTCCTTTTTCGCAATGAGTAATGACGGTACGCAGATCGTTGTTGCCTAGGACGAAAATTATTTTTTCCCCTTGTCCGGGGTCCTAGGCAACGACGATCGGCGTACCGTCGGGTTCGTTTCCTTCTCCCATTCATATTTAGTTATATTTTTCTTCATATTGATTCCCACGAGCAGCTTGGGAAGTTCGGTCCGCCCCTGCAGAGCCCCGCGTGCAGGGGTAAGGCATTTTACACCGAGAGGTTGCCATCTTCCCGGTGGCTCTGTCCACGACCATATATCGTCTGGTCATCACCTCTCGGCACGGGTCGCATGACACCTTAGGTTACGGAATTTTGGTTTAACAGGTCCAGGTTCAGTAACAGGCACAGGTTCTGTAACAGGTACAGGTTTAGTAGCAGGTTCAGGTTTATAAACAGGTCCAGGTTCAGTAACAGGCACAGGTTCTGTAACCGGTACAGGTTCCGTAACAGATTCTGTAACAGGTACAGGTTTCGTAACAGGCACAGGTTCCGTGGTTCTGTAACAGGTACAGGGACAGTAACAGGTGCAGGTTCTGTAACAGGTACTGGTTTTGAAACAGGTACTGTAACAGGTACAGATACTGTAACAGGTACAGTACTGCAACAGGTACAGTACTGCAACAGGTATACAGGTACTGTAACAGGTACAGTACTGTAACAGGTACAGTACTGTAACAGGTACAGGTACAGGTACAGGTACAGGTACAGGTACAGGTACAGGTACAGGTTTAGTAGCAGGTTCAGGTTCTGTAACAGGTACAGGTTTAGTAGCAGGTTCAGGTTTATAAACAGGTCCAGGTTCAGTAACAGGCACAGGTTCTGTAACCGGTACAGGTTCCGTAACAGGTTCTGTAACCGGTACAGGTTCCGTAACAGATTCTGTAACAGGTACAGGTTTCGTAACAGGCACAGGTTCCGTGGTTCTGTAACAGGTACAGGGACAGCAACAGGTGCAGGTTCTGTAACAGGTACTGTAACAGGTACTGGTTTTGAAACAGGTACTGTAACAGGTACAGATACTGTAACAGGTACAGTACTGCAACAGGTACAGGTTCTGTAACATGTACTGTAACAGGTACAGGTACAGGTACAGGTGCAGGTTCTGTAACTGTAACAGGTACTGGTTTTGAAACAGGTACTGTAACAGGTACAGATACTGTAACAGGTACAGTACTGCAACAGGTACAGGTACTGTAACATGTACTGTAACAGGTACAGGTACAGGTACAGGTACAGGTGCTGTAACAGGTGCAGGTGCAGGTTCTGTAACAGGTACTGTAACAGGTGCAGGTTCTGTAACCGGTGCTGTAACAGGTACAGGTACTGTAACACGTACTATAACAGGTACTGTAACATGTATCGGTACTGTAACATGTACCGGTACTGTAACAGGTACAGGTACTGTAACAGGTGCAGGTTCTGTAACAGGTGCAGGTTCTGTAACAGGTGCAGGTTCTGTAACAGGTGCAGGTTCTGTAACAGGTGCAGGTTCTGTAACAGGTGCAGGTTCTGTAACAGGTACAGATTCTGTAACCGGTACAGATTCTGTAACAGGTGCAGATTCTGTAACAGGTGCAGGTTCTGTAACAGGTGCAGGTTCTGTAACAAGTACAGAAAATGTCAGAGGGTGTTCAGCGAACGATTCCCGTGTGTACAGGGTGTCTCAAATACGTCACAAGGTAGGGAGACTCTATCGTTTTTGCGTGCGACCGTATTTTTCGTGTGTTTTGACCGTTTTTGTGCGTTTTCGACCGTTTTCAACCGTTTTTCGTGAGTTTTCGATCGTTTTCCGTATGTTTTCGACAGTTTTTTGTTCGTTTTTGACCGTTTTTCGTGTGACCGTTTTACGTGTTACCGTTTTCCGTACGTTTTTCGTGCGTTTTTGACTATTTCCCCAACATGTGTGTGTGTGTACAGGGTGTTTTATTTAAGGAACATGGTAGGGGGCTCTATCGTTTTAGCGTATTTCAATGTTTACATATGAACGTCCTCCCAGTGGGCTGTATTTATTAATATTGACTTCGAGAAATAGTATTTTTTCACAAGTCCAACCCAAATTACAAAAAAATAAATATTACTACTCAATCTCATTGGAATTTACAAAAAAAATTATTACCTGAGTCACGTTCCTGGAATTCAGTCGTTTGAGCCACAATTACATCACGGAATCCATCAAAAACAGCATTCAAATCTGAAGATTGGTCCACTATTTTATTTTGGGAATCAAATGACTTCGTGTCCCTCGAATCTTGAGTCTGAAGAATATAATTCCCAAAAACTTCCATATTCACCTTGTTGCTTTTATGGATCCTGATGGCCGATTCCAGTAATTCAATGACCTTCTGCCTAATCTCATTGAAAAATAACATGTAGTCAGTGGATACAATCGAACTCTCAACCCTGTACGTAGCAATGCGGCAATTGAATGCATTCGTTATCATTTGAACACCTTCAGACAATTGAACACATGCATTATTTTTATGACTCATGGTTCTTCGGTGAGAGTTCACTTGTGTCATAGGAATTGTCACATTACAGCAATTGCAAGTATACATTGGTGTTGCATTGTCCACTCTCATCCGTTTCACAGCAGGTCCTCCTTGGCAACTCTGGAGCTGATGCCGACGAAGATTATCACTACGAGTGAAAGATTTACCACAGTCACAGGAATACATTTTATATAATAGTTCTCACTAACTCACTTGTTGTAAACTGACATAACCAACACTCTTCCGCTTCTTAAATACACTCTGATAGGACCCGTCAAGACGTCATAGCCATCCCCACTTCTCAACTACATGCGCCAAGATTACCTCCCAACTGAATGCGATAACAGATGTCGATACGAACAGGCAGTGGTCGTTGCGCTCTCATAGAGGGTAGACGTTAGGCAGACGGCCCTCGGCTGCCGTGGTGTCACCATCGATAGCGGGGCTAGGCAATGCGTTACGTGACAACCTTCATCGCTTCGAGAGAGGTGAGGGCAGACCGATGAATACGCATTACTCAGCCACACGTCGTGGAGTGAACATCTTGCTCTCTTACCGTTGGACGGATGGTGCTGTGACGTCACACCACTACTAACTTGGTGGACTCACACCGATGGAACATTCATTATTCGAAGGATCTTCGAAGTATGCAGACGTATGTTTGTACATAGACAAGCACATGATGAAACCCTGTACCGTGCATTCTCACACACACATACACACACACACACACACACACACACACACAAACCAATCAAATGTAATTACGTCACTATGTCACACACACACACCCAAAAATCTCATATAAAAAAAAATTCTGAACGATCCCTGCATCAGACCCTTCAAGGTCACATCGCCTTGATGTTACTAAACAACAACAAAAAAAGCAATTAATACGTCATAGTGGTGGGGGGAGGCCCAGAACCGGCTGTAATCTGCTACTGATATGTCTGTGGAGACTCATGCTCTCATCCGTTGACACTCTCCAGTTATTTATATGTCTGAACATTCCTCGTGACGAAAAAGTTATGTCAACTATCGATGTTTGGGAACCCCTTGAGAAAGTTGGTATATCACCTTCATTGATCACTACCATGTCCATAGATTGCAGTCATTCTGCGAGATAGGTACCTCTTGCATCTGTCACGACCGAGTTCCACAACATCGATTTGGCATTGAAATCCCCTACCTGCTACTAAGTTATGGGTTTAGAAGCAGGTAGGATTTTAGTAGCAGGTAGAGGCTTACTAGCAGGTAGAGGGTTAGTAGCAGATAAAGGTTAAATAGCAGCTAAGGGTTTAGTTGCAAGTATGAGGGGGTTTAATAGCAGGTAGGATTTTAGTAGCAGGTAGGGGTTTATTAGCAGGTATGAGGTTACTATCATACCTGATACTTATACCTGATATCAGTTGATATCATACCTGGTAACAGGTAATATCATACTTGATAATAGGTGTGATATTACCTGATAACAGGCATGATATTACATGTTATTATCTGTTATCAGGTATGATATTAACTGATATCAGGTGACATAAGGGTATATCATATTTGATATCAGGTAATATACCTGATACCATACCCTATATTTGGTAATATAAGGTAATAGCATAGCTGAAATCGGGCAATATCATACCCGATAACAGGTAACACCATACCTGTTAACAGATATGCTACCGATGCTACTTGATATTACCTGTTATCAGATATTATAACCTGATATTACATGTAGTCTGGTATGATATTACCTGTTACCACCTGATCATTACCTGTTATTACCTATGATATTGCCCGGTATTGCCTGTGATATTACCTGTTATTACCCGCGACATAACCTGTAAATACCTGTGATATTATCTGTTGCTACCTGTTATCAGGTGATAACAGTTGTGATATTACCTGTTATTACCCGGTAACAGTTAGGATGTCACCTGTCAAACCTGGTAATCCCTGCGATTACCTGTAACATTGCCTGTTATTACCTGTTAATACCTGTAACATTATCTGCACCATTATCTGCAACATTACCTGTTGATAGCCTAACCCCGAACCACAGCCGAACCCCAGCTGAACCCCGAACCCCAGCTAAACCCCAGCCGAACACCAGCAGAACCCCCGCCGAACACCCGCAGAACCCTAGCATAACCCCGAACCCCAGCCGAATCCCAGCCAAACCTCAGCCGAATCCCCGCAGAACCCCAGCCGAACCCCGGGCAGAGCCCCAGCATAGCCCCGAAACCCAGCAGAACCCCGCCGAACCCCAGCAGCCCTGCGCAAGGCCTGCGCTGGTCCGCCCTGCGCAGGGCGGGTGTGCGCAGGGCCGGCCTGCGCAGGGTGGGTGTGTGCAGGGCCTGCGCAAGG